ATTCACGGCACAGCACTAAAGTACAGCTTTCGAGTCAATTGATCGCTCCCAAGTTAATCTCAAGATACTCCTACTCTGCATACAGGCAGGGTATATATAGTTTTAACATACCTTCGAGAATATTCTTGGGAAAATCGCTAAGAATGCATTCTAGAATGTTTTCTCCAGGTCTATGGCATATCACCAATTTTGTCTCCAAATGGATTATTTTGGGCCAAACCTGGCAACCCTAACCCAGCTTTGCAGGGAAGCTATCTTACCACAGCTGGGCATTTCACAATACTATCCCAGTTTTACATTAAAATGTCATAAAAGTAATTTCTTTCAAAAACACAATGGAATTTTAACACATCAGATTTTTTGGTAGCTGAGCAGCTGAAGTCACAGAATACATATTTTTGATTTCTGCCAGCTTACTGGGTTATTTAAACTGAGTTTTGCAGTTCCTTTCCATATACAACAAAAATATAAACCAACATTCTATAGGTGCAACAAATGGTCACAGCCAAACATTCAAGGGATGGAGAACCTAATGGAGAACTTTCCAAGAAAAGTTTACTATATTTATGTTACACATAAAAACCACAAAACCATGCAACCAGACTATTTGTAAGGAGCCCAAAGCCAGGACAAACTATCAGTATTCAGCTTTATTCATACAGTCATTTAGCGGGCCCATTATCCTGCTGAAAGTGCTCTATATAAGCATTCTTCCTCAACATATAGCCTTTATATATGTGACCACCATAAAATAACCTAATAACATACTCTAAGAGCAGGCTTTTAATTGAACACTGTGAAATATAATACTGACAATTCCAATCCCCTTATATTAAAGGGGATTGGATTGGGGCTGCATTGATGCAGCATTTTTACTTTCCATCATAACTGTATGTACAGGATTTGTTCATTTACTATATGAGGAGAGGTCAAATTTCTATATTTCATAAAAAAGTTAAATTACACTAAAAACTTAATATCTGTTACTTTCATTATTTAAACACAATATATTAATTTATCTCTTTCTTCTCCTAGCTTTTAAAATCATTCCATGTATTTCACTGTCCAAACCTATTTTTCTCATTGTACAGTACACATTGGCTTAATGTAATTGCAAATAACATTATCATTCGGATAATGCCAGTTTTGTCTGTTTGTATGCAAAAGCATAGAAAACACAGTTTATTGTGATCAATAATATGATTAATAATATTGAAATATTATAGAAGAAAGTATTTGGGCTCTACTATATGCATCCTAATTTCACCAAATGTGGCAATATGTGTTCTGTGCTGGTTTTTGCACGATTGTGTGTTGTATGGCAACCCTGTTGACATTGAAAAATCTTTTGCTGGAGTGGTTTAATTGCTCATTGGTTCGTGTCGCATGTGTTTTGAAATGGCTTATGTTGCAATGATAGATGTGATGGCAAGATTTCAGTCGCGCATTGTAGATAGAGTGCAAAGTAAAATTGAGTATTAAAAGGTACGATGTTGGAGTTGTTAACAAGTCTTTTGTTCATGAGTGTGTTTATGAGGATTGAAGTGTATTTTTGGAATTTCTGTGGGACTTTTAAAACGGAGTCAGAATGCGAAGCTTCTATGAGAACTCAGACGAAGAAGGGCGTTTCTGATAGTTCTTGTGTGGATTTGCAGTTAAATGGTTGCTGATAAAGTATGTGTATGTATCAGCGGAGTTTAAGATTTGGATTGTGGTTTTGGTGTAGTAAGTTAACTTTGGAGGAAGTTTTTATTGTTACTTTCGAAATTTTGAATCTCAGAAATACACGTGATATAGCAAAATCATGGCACTTTTGTTCAGAGACGTTGTGTGACTGGCGAAATTTTATTTAGGAATGTATTATGGAAATTTTATTTAGGAATTTATTTTGTAGAATGTTATGTTCATTATTTTTTTACCTATGAATTTTTGTTGTTATTGTTGTTTTTTGACTTGTTTGTAATTTAGTTTAGTTTATTTAGTTGATTTGTGCATTCATAGATTTTTTTTAAAGTTTAAACAGAATGCTGTGTACATGGTATTCTTTGAAATTTATTGTTGTTATGTTAATTTATTGAAGCAAGGTGTGCGTAGTTCGTAGATTCCTTTGCTGCCTAGAATATGCAATTTATAGATGTTTTTTGAAGTTAAAACATATCGCTGTGTACATGGAATCTTGTCAAATATTTTTGGTTAGAAACTTTACGTTTCTGCTATCTAAATTTTTTGTTTTTGTTTCGGATTTTTAGCTAAAATTGTGTCTTCAAAACGTGGTTTTTGCATATGCGAAAACTGCATTTTTGGAGACACTTTAGGCTTAAAATTCGAAATGTAGAAAAAAATTTAGGTAGTAATATGGCGGCGTGGAGTTTCTCACCAAAAATGTTTGGCAAGAAATTTGCCGACCTGAGGGCGCATATAAGAGTAGTTCCATTTTTTAAAACTGATATAATTTCACCAATAAAGGTCAAATGACTTTTAGAAATTGCCAATTGAGTGAAAAATGTCATCAAATAAGGAATTAAATCATCAAACTACTTGGCTCTCGTTTTAGTCAACCATATAAAATTAGGCAAAAAAGCAACCATTTAGTCTGGCAATAAATGCTGTGATTTTGAAGGAAATCAGGCAATTTTCTTCAGGCAGAAGAAATCTGCAGTTGCGTTTTGAAACAAATACATACATGACAAACTTTTTGAAGAAGATAAAGATGAAATTGTAAAATTTCCCCACATGCTGATACAAAGGATGCCTTCCGAATATTAAGATTTCCAGAAATAGTACAGCATTGGTCAAAGAATTTCCAGAAATGTTAGAAAGAGCTCATAAACGAACTTTCCTCGAATGCTTGAAGACATCTACTAGTAATAACTTTTTTCCCAGTTAAAATGCTGTAAAAGTAAGTATTTATATGTTTCTACTTAGATTTATATTACATTTGTTAAATTCTACTGTCAATTTGAAGGAGAATTTTCTCATCGTTGAATGTTATAAAAAAAATCTGTTGACAAAAGTGATTACCTTAAGCTGCACCTAATGTACATCCTCTGATTTTGTTTTCTATGACTGCATATAAGAGGGAAATCCATAAATTAAGATGACATTCAATCTAGACTAAGTAAAATTTAAAAATCCATACTTGTTTTTAAAAGTTTTAATTAAAACAGATTATTTGTAACAGTCACGTGTAGGAAACCCTATTCCCTCTTACCCTTCTCGTTACTCGAGAGATTATGACAATGGGTGAATCTTCGGATTATGGTAATTTGGCGAAAATTTAGCGACCCTGCTAGTTTTTTTTTTTTTTTTTTGGACGCCATTTTGTTTTCACGACGTAAAGGCATGTTTGCGAAAGTGCACAATCGCGCACTTATTTGTTTGGCGCTTTTTACACGAGTAAGAATTTGATTTTTGTCAATTTTTTTTTACTTTTTAAGTGAAATAGGTTGATGTATACATGGATGAAGTCAAAAGTGTGCGCAATGCCATTTTTGTGCAATTCTGGGATGTTTTTTTAAGTGAAAATAGGTCAACGTGTACATGGATACCGCATATGTGCAATTCTTAAAAACGTGCGAAGCAGTGGGTGATTCTGCACTTTCTCCCAATATCACACCTAATCTTCAATATGATTAAGCACTTTTGTTCCATAAAAGTTCTAGCATAAGCGTAATTCGGCTAGCAGATTGTTGGAAAAAAATGTTGAGTTAAAAAAAAAAAAAAAAAGCCGGAGAAAGTGCAGAATCGCCCACTGCTTTGCGCGTTTTTTAAGAGACCTATTTTCACTTAAAAAAAATATCCCAGAATTGCACAAAAATGGCATTGCGCACACTCTTGACTCCATGTAATTGAAAAAAATCCAATTCTTCTTACGGCTAATCTTTGGAATACAGTAACACGTAGTTTGGCAACATTTTGGTAAGGCGATAAAAATTACTAGCTAGGACTTCAGCAATAATCTGAGAAGAACGGAGTTCAAAATTTGCCCTGTAAAAACAAATTTCTGTGCACGTTTGTTCTACTACTTTCTGGAACATTCCGATCGTGATTTGGCTAAAGTGCAGAATCGCCCACTTATTTGTTTAGCGCTTTTTACAAGAGTAAGAAGAATTGGATTTTTGTCAATTTTCTTTGACTTTTTAAGTGACATCAGGTCAATGTGTACATGAATAAAGTCAAGAGTGTGCGCAATGCCATTTTTGTGCACTTCTGGGATGTTTTTTTAAGTGAAAATAGGTCGAAGTGTACATGGATACCGAGTATGTGCGATTCTTAAACCCTCCAAGCAGTGGGCGATTCTGCACTTTCCCCCGTGATTTTAGCTAATAAGCACTTAGAAACAATTTCGCACCTAATCTTCGTCATGATTAGGTACTTTTGTTCCATAAAAGTTCTAGCATAAGTGTAATTCGGCTAGCAGATCGTTGGAAAAAATGTTCAGTAAAAAAAAGAAAAACATGTCTTTACTTCGCGAAAACAAAATGGCGTCCAAAAAAAAAAAAAAAGCAGGTTGCTGTAGCAGGGTTGGTCGCCAAAAAATTGCCAAGTTATCATAATCCGAAGATTTACCCTTCTTACTCTTGTAAAAAGTGCCAAACAAGTAAGTGGGCGATTCTGCACTTTAGCATCGAAATCGTTTCTAAGTGCTTATTAGCTAAAATCACGATCGAAATTTTCCGGAAAATGTCACATGACATGTCTCATGATCTCTCATTTCTCTGAGACAAAATAATCTGTGATTCGAACTGTGTACTTCTCAGATTATTGCTAAAGTCCAACCGAGTAACCTTTATCGCCTTACCAAAATGTCGCCAAACTACCTGTTATCAAATTCCAAAGATTAGCCTGACAATGTTTTTAGAATTACAGAGAAATTTGATCTCCATATTTCAAAAGCAATAAAAATTAGGATGAAAAATCGTAGAGTGCAATTAAATTCTTATTAGATTAGAGTACATTTTCATACACAGAATGCAACTAATATATAGAATTCAAGGTACCATTATACTCCTCAGACAGATCGGCTACACACTTCAGTAGTTTTAGGTTATCCACTTTAGCATCGTCCGCAACATCAAATGTTTCAGGCATGTTTATGTTTTCAAATTACTGTTGCCAAACGGTTAAAAGAAATAAAATACTAATACTTATTTTAGTGTTGGCTGATCTCTAGAATAATGGTCCTCAATAAACGCAGTGGCTAATCGCACCGACGGTCCGAATAGTCTTTGAGGATATGTTATACAAGGCCAACTTATACTCAAAGCCTGCCAGACTGAACGAAATTCCGGTTCCCAGTTTTCAGTGGCTTTCGCGAAATTCATCACTAGGTGGCGCTCGCATTCTGCTACAATTTTGCTATACGCTCACTAACTTTAGAATTTTGCTCCTATACGCTCACTATTTGTAACGTGGTTCGTTATTAACAAAAAGTGTATTTTATGGCTAGCTGCTGTATATTTGAAGGCTATAACATAACGAGCTTGGTTTTTTTTTGGCTAACGTTTTATGCATATAGGTTTAAAATTGTGTATATACATCATTGAACTCAGTTCTGAAATTCCTCATTCTGCTTATTTAATTCTGAAATCTTTGTGCATCTAATGCTGTTATTTTCAAAACTTTGTTTGTAACTTTCTTCTGATTAATCTGGAATGGGAATAATACACATGGATTTATGTCAGGTAGTTACATGTAGGTAATGTATCAAGATGGCACTCATGTATATGTGTGCTTAATAGTGATAATATTGTTTTGTGAAATTCAGTAATTTTATTTCATGTATACATTTTTCTTGATAATGAACTATATCAGTATCTCACGCTGCCAGCCATAAAATTTTGTACACATGTCATTCTGATTAATGTTGTATGTGTGTAAAAATGTCTAGCTGCTGCATATTTAAGGGTTATACTTAATAAGCTTGTTTTTTTTTGCCTAACTTTATATGCATATAGGTTTAAAATTGTGTATATACCTCATTCGAACTCAGTTCTGAAATTCCTCATTCTGCTTATTTAATTCTGAAATCTTTGGGCATCTAATGCTGTTATTTTCAAAACTTTGTGTGGAACTTTCTTCTGATTAATCTGGAATGGGAATGCTACACATGGATTTATGTCATGTAGGTAATGTATCAAGATGGCACTCATGTGTATGTGTTCTTAATAGTGATAATATTGTTTTGTGAAATTCAGTAATAATTTATTTCATGTATACATTATTCTTGATAATGAACTATATCAGTATCTCACGCTGCCAGCGTGTAAATAAATAAATTTTGTAAATAAAATTTTGTACACATGTCATTCTGATAAATGTTGTATGTGTGTAAAAATGTCTACCTGCTGTATATTTAAGTGATGCATTTAATAAGCTTGTTTTTTTTTGCCTAACTTTAAATGCATATATATCTAAAATTGTGTGTATATACCTCATTCTACTTAGCATTGTGTGTGATGGATATATTATTTATATTCAGCCATTGCAAGTTTTCAAATTTTATCCTTGATATACAGAACTGAACTTTTCTTAAGTATATATTGTGATTATGAGAGTTATTATTTTTTTGTGTGCTGTTAAGATATATTTTATGATGCCTGTGTCTCTTTTATTTATAACAAACAGATTGATTTGATCAATAGCTTTATCAAAAATTTCATTATTTTCATTTGAAAAAATTGAAGTTTCTCTAACACTGAAAATGTAAATTGCTGCAATGCACTTAATTCAATTACTAGTTTCTTAATGTTAACATCAATGAAATTTAGAATACAAATGAAAGTGAAGAGAAACACACCTGTGTAATATTAAAATTAGTCAAAAAAGCAACTTTGGGTTTGAGTTTCATTCAAAATCTATGCCACAGTAAGACCTTTTTTTTTTTGGGGGGGGGACTAATAATTTTATAATGTCTTTGAATATCTGCAATGCAAATACTGCACAGAGATCAAAATCTGCATTATTTAAACTTTTATTGTTTAAGATTTCCTAAAAACAGTTATTTAATAATTAAAAAAATTCTTCAGTATGTAAAATTTAATCTCTTTAAGTAATATTTTTACTCCAATGTCGTGGAAACAGATATACAAATTTTAGATCATGGTGTATTAATATATTAATTACATCTCTGATAGGGGATACTAAATTATTTTTTGGCCCAGTACAGCCGATAGGAATGTTTTGAAAATTTTTCACTGAAATAGTACATGATCTGAAGCTATCTGTTAACTTCTTACTATATAAATAATTAAAAAATAAGGTGTATACTCTGAATTACCTTTAAATTAGAATAAATAGTTGTAATGCGTACAATTCAGAATAGCGCATGTCTAGATGAAAGCAGGAATTAAAATCGAGATCAAATAGCTGGTGTTTATGTGTGAAAAAAAAAAAAAAAAAAAAAAGGTGAGATAGCTTAAAATTCCATGCTTTCCTTCTAATTAAAATATTTTTACTAATAAGAAATCAACAATTTCTGACTACTATGGATTAATCGTTTTTAAACTTTGCATATAACAAGACAGAATTCGTTTTTGGTACTTTTCCGATTTTTGTAAACATCGCAAAGTGTAGCAGAATTGTAGCGCCATCTTGCGGTCAGTAGGAATATCACGCAGGCAACCGAAAACACAAAAGAATATTTTCACACTGGCAGGCCTTGAGTATAAGTTGGCCTTGTGGTTTGCATTTTGATGCCCGGCAACGGAGCGAGGGTGTTCCAACACTACAAGAATTTTTCTCGGTGTAACATTTCTTTATCTTCTTGTATCAATTTCTTTGTTAATTAATTTTTAGTTATTGTCACTGAAATTTACGTGTTATTTGTTTGACATAACTTGAAGACGACGGATGTGACAAAAACAAATTTCTTGCCTTTTGAGTGTGGAAACAAGTTTTCCACATATTTTAAATTTGAAAGAGCAAAAAAACTGTGTGAACATCGAAATTTTGCAGTTTTGATTAAAACGAGATCGCAAAATTTCACGAGGGTCATAAACATCGTGAACCGGTATTGTGCAAATACACAGATCGTATTTTATTCTCGAGTGTCAATTGTAAACTCTTTTTTTACTCGACTTTCTGATAAAGACGGTGGGTTGGAGGCGGATGAAAGAGAGTGAGGTCCACACTAGCGGCGGCGAAAAAAGGGGGTGTCAAGTTTCAGTTCGTTATAAGATGTAGCCGCGGGTGGTAAAACCGCAGAGTCAGTTTGGCGTGAATGAGTCAATTAAGGTTGTAATTCTATGTGGGAAGGACGTCACAAGGGTAACGATGTTTTTCTCTGGGACGCGGGGGGTGTGAGAGTGCTAATAGGCTATTACTGTGGGTTTGTACTGAATAAAAGAAGTTTAATCGTTTATATACTCTTGAATAAGTTCGATTCGAAGGTCTCTGTGAATATAGATGTTGGAAATATACCAAGGAGCATTGATAATTTCTCGTAGAATTTTATTTTGTAGAATTTGTAATTGTTTAATATTGGTTTTAGCTGCATGTCCCCAGATCGGTGCTGCATAAAGAATGTTATATATGTAACTGTAACTGTATCTATTATTATCTTTAATCATAACTGTAATATAGTATAGTGGATGAGTAATGTAGAATAAACGATGTTTCTGTACATCTTGTAATCATCACTGAGCACGTTACCCACCATATAAAATAAACACATGGCGCAGCCCGTCGATGATTAAAAAGAAAATCTTTTTTTGAAGAACCATGCAGCGTGGGTAAAGATATTCTAAGCAAAAACATGATGGGAAGTTGTTTACTGTGAAAATCGAAACTTATATCGCTGGTAAGTGAGTTGTTTATTATTTTTATTGGCAGTGGCTAAAAGTACGTATATATAAACTATTTAAAGTACCAAATACCAAATTAAATATGGATGGATTAAAAGCCACCAAGTAATCTAAGTTTCGAAGGAAAATTTAAGCGAAAATTGGAAGAAATGGAAAAAACAAAATTCCAAATTTATATGTTAGCTTCTGGTGGTATTACTAAATCACCTGAAATTAAAGTAGCTATTTTATTGCATATTATTGGTGAAGAAGCACTTGAAAAATTTAATACTTTTAATTTAAGTGAAGAAGATAAGAAGGATGTTGGCAAAGTAATTGAAGCTATCGAAAATTTTTGCATACCGAAAGCAAACGAAAGTGTTGATAGACATATATTTTTCTGTCGAACACAGCATGTAGGTGAATCGTTTGATGATTTTTTAACCGATTTAGAGAAATTAAGTAGCAACTGTGGATTTGGAGAATTAAAAGATAGTTTAATAAGAAATAGAATAGTAAGTGGAATTTTAAATAAAAATCTCAAAGATAGATTATTAAGGGAAGATCAGTTAACATTGGAGAAATGTATTAAATGTGTAAAGCTTCTGAATTAGCAGAACTTCAGCTGAAAACGTTTAACTGAAGAAAATAAAATAGAAGCTATCAAACGTAATAAATTTCGACCTTCAAGGGAAAAAGTCAGCCTTGTAAGAAAGACTATCATGTAAACAAAAGCAACAAAGTACTAAATCTTCTTCAAACTATCAAGGAATAAGTACAATAATCCAAAACCATGTAGAAAATGTGGAACTTTTCATAAGTTATACACTGTCCTGCTTATAATAAGATTTGCTTGTACCGAAAAAGAAAAATCACTTTTCTAAAATGTGCACTTATAAAATGTTATGTTGTACAGAATAATTTAGAGCATGAGTTACATAATAATGGTAATGAATATATTTTAGGGTCAGTAGAAGATACAAATCCATTTTCTAAAAATAAAACCGCATGGTTTGAAAAACTAAAAGTAAACATATCTAATATTTTTTTCTAAGTTGGATACTGGAGCTCAGTGTAATGTGCTACCATTGCCTAAATTTAAACAATTAAAATTAAGAGATAAATGTTTGACTGAATCAAAAGTCACTTTAAATAATTACAATGGTACTACAATTGATGTAGTTGGAAAATGTAAATTATTATGTGAAACATCGAAAGGGGACAAGGATGAAATAGAATTTCAAGTTGGTAGCATGTGAAAAACTGTTCCAGCTATTTTAGGTTTACCTACATTGCAAAAATTAAACCTAATACAAAGGATTTGTACAGTAAATCCTGATTCCAATGAAAAGTTACCAGAATCTTTAAAAGGATATCAAGATTTGTTTAAAGGAACTGGGAATTTAACTGGATATACATATCATATTAAATTAAAACTGTTGCTGT